TCTCTTCTTGCCTGATGTCTCCTTGGGGTGCTGGGGATGAGCAGCTTTTGACATGTTGAGCGGGAAATTGCTTTTCCCCTCCTGCTTCTGAGACTCGCTCTTAAGACTTTAATTGCGGAAGGCTCTGGGGTTGGAGAGTGCGCAGGTGTGAGTGATGTCAGAGCCTGGCAGGGCTGAGCTGGGGAGAGGGTTGTGCAGGGAGGTATGATGGGATGGGGGTGGGACATTATGAGCCAGGATCAGCCTTGTCTCTTCTTAACTCTTCTGTGTCCTCAGCAACCCCTGCCCCCAGACCTCAGGTCTCTGCAGTATCACACAATGCCCATTATGGACCTTCCTCATCCTCTCCTCTGTCACTGGCATGAATACCTCCCTCCTACCTTGAAGGAGCCCTCACTTCACACCCTCACTGTGAGCTGCTGCTAGGTCTGGTTCTGCAGTGTTGTCTGCAGTGAGCCTGCCTGTGCTGGGCACTGTGGGCACTTGTGATGGGCAGTCAGAGGCCACCTAGCTCTGGGGACTGCCTTGTTCTGGGTTTCCTTCCATGTCTGCAACCTCCCCAGCCTCCACCAAGTCCTTTCCACTGGCTTCAAAACTTGCTACCTGAGGCCTCTACCTACACTTCTCCGTTAACTGCAACCATGGACCCTGGAAGCAGTACTAATAGCAACTACAGGAGAACTTTGAGAGTGCAGGAAGTCAGGGCTAGAACCCCAGGTCTGGGCCACGACAGTGCTACAGAGCCTCATGGGCCTCATCCCTGTAGAGGAGGACTTGGGCCCAGGATCCGGATGCCTGGTGCAACCAAAGAGCAATGTCCCTCTTCAGAGTAGATGGGAGCTGCTGTGGAATGTTCTGTATGGCAAATGTGTTGCTCTGATTGGTCAATAAATAAGTCACTGATTGGCCAGTGGTCAGGCAGGAAGTATAGGCGGGACAAGAAGGAAAATAAAGCTGGGAAGTGGAAGGCTGAGTCAGAGAGACACTGCCAGCCGCCACGATGACAAACAGCATGTGAAGATGCCGGTAAGCCACAAGCCATGTGGCAAGGTATAGATTTATAGAAATGGATTAATTTAAGCTGTAAGAACACTTAGCAAGAAGCCTGCCACGGCCATACAGTTTGTAAGCAATATAAGTCTATGTATTTACTTGGTTGGGTCTGAGCGGCTGTGGGACTGGCAGGTGAGAGAGATTTGTCCTGACTGTGGGCCAGGCAGGAAAACTTAAGCTACAGGGAGCCATGCTCATACCTGTTAAGTGGGCAACACAGCAAGGGGGACCCGGCTAAGGCCCCACTGGTACTCACAGTGACTGGAGGGACCTCTCAGAACTCCATTCTGAGACTCCCTTCCCTGACCAAGAGTCACCAGGCATCAGATAAGACCCTCTTTTGTCTTTTGATCTTGTAGGCCAGAGACCCCTTCACCCACTAGATGCATCGTTTGATCGTTGGGCCCCACTCAGGGACTGTCCAGCCCCTCATGCAGCAAGGATCCATAGACGTCCTTGTGGGCCCAGATAAACACATTTGACTGACACCTGGACAGCTTTGCAAAGATTGTGAGCTGCAACCCAGGGTAACCAGGACCTACAAGTTGAGCCTGAAGGGGACTGTGGCTAAGAGGGAAACTTCAAAGAAGTGCAGAGTCTCCTAATAGAACCAGGTAAATGACCCAAGTGTGACGAGAAAAGGCACCCATCATACCGAGAACCGAAAGTGCTTCCATATGAGTGAGGAAGAGCTTGGTGCGGCTGAGGAGCGGAGTCATGGGTGGGAGTGAGCACGTGGGGACTCAAAGCCCCACAAGCTCACTTCAGCAAGCAGCCACAAATCCTCCTGAAATGAATGAAAACAGAAGCTCAGCAAACAGATAATTACACAAAGAACAAATGGAAATGACAGACAAGGTTTGATGACACTTACTGTGCTGGAGCAGAGGTGACAGAGCCCAGAACCAGCAACCCTGAGATCAGAGGGGACCAGCCCACTCTAGTCACAGCTCCAGGAACCAGTGGCCACAACATACACATGCTCAAAGTCCCGAACGCAGAGAAGAGCAAGGCTGAAAGAATACTAGAGGGACAGCAGGGTGGCTCTGTGGGTACGGGGGTTTGCTGCCAAGCCTGACGACCTGAGTTCAATCCTAGAAGGAAAGAACTGACTCCCAGAAGTTGCCCTCTGATTTACACACACACACACACACACACACACACACACACACACACACACGCACGCACACACACACACACACACACACACACACACACACACACACGGGGAAGGTCAGAAACCTGAATGGTACAGAGACTTGCCCACTCCACTCCAGGCAGCAAAACGTCAACATAGTCTGCTGCCAATGTTTTTGTAATACCCAAGGCTGGGCATGTAGCTCAGTGATGGCGAGCTTGCCCAGCAGAGGAAGAAATCTGGGTTCCACCCCGGCACCAAGGGAGAAAAGTCGGGAGACCTAAAAGTGCTATGAAAAGGACACAAATGGAAACACAGTCATCATAATGACTTGAAGATGGGGCTGTGGTGGGACTCAGTTGGTGGAGGGCTAGTCAGCTCTGCCTAGCCAGCAGGAAGCCCCGGAATCCATCTCCAGCACTGTTTTAACTGCACACAGTGCTCCACGCCTGTAATCCCAACACCCAGGACGTGGAGGCAGGAGGATCAGACATTCAAGGTCATCTAAGTTTGAGAAACATGAGAGCCTGTCAAGGGGTGGGGGAGGGATAGAAGAGAAAAAGGAAGGAGGGAAGGAAGGAAGGAGGGAAGGAAGGAAGGAGGGAAAGAAGGAGGGAGGGAAGGAGAGAGGGAAGAAGGGAGGGAGGGAAGGAGGGTTGAGGGAGGGAGGGAAGGAAGGAAGGAGGGAAGGAAGGAAGGAGGGAAGGAAAATAGAAACCAGCTTTGGTGGCTCATGTCTGTAACCCCCGCCCTTGAGAAGCTGAGGCACAGGTCACCAGCGGTCTGAGGCCAGCGTGGACAACATAGCTAGCTCTAAACCAGCCTGGCTTCAGAGTGAGGCCCTGTCTCCCAAAAATGAAACCAAAAAAGCTGTGGCGAGGTAATTCTGTGATGAGATGGGGAACAGGCAGGTCCCTGGAGTTCTCTAGTCAGCTAGCCTAGGCTAGCTGGTCAAGTTCCAAGCCATGAGGGACCTGTCCCAAACAAAAAACAGAAGACATCTGAAAACCCCCACATGAGTCTGTCTGCAGACCTCCAACGTGCAGGCACACACGTATGCATGCACGCACACACACATACAAAATTTTACTTTTTCCAAAAAAGAAAAAAGAAAGAAAATCAAGGTAGAGACTTTAGGAATCTACAGAAAGGCAAGAAATGATGAGCAGGGGAACCTTTTTTCACCTTGATTTTTGTGTGTGTCTATGAAGTTTTGCCCGTCTGTGTCCGTGCACTGTGTCTGTGCAGTGCCTGGGGAGGCCAGAAGAGGGCGTCAGATCCCCTGGAGGTGCAGATGGTTGCAAGCCGCCCTGTGGCTGCTGGGAACTAACCTGGGTCCTCTGGAAGGTGGACAGTTCTTAACCACTGCGCCATCTTTCTAGACCTTTTGGGGGGAAAAGAAAATGGGAATGGAAGGAACAGAAGAGAAAGAAAGACAGGGAGACGTCACCTTTGGAGGGTGTGTGGGATTACATCACCATTTTTTTTAAATTTTTTTTTTTACCTTTTTTTAAAGTAGACTCCAAATTCCTTTTTTTTTAAAAAAAAATCACATTTTGAAGATTTGCTTTCTTTTTTTTATTTATTTATTTATTTAGTTTTTTTTTTGAGACAGGCTTTATCTGTGTAGTCTTGACTGTCCTGGAGCTCGCTCTGTAGATCAGGCTGGCCTTGAACTCACAGAGATCCACCTGCCTCTGTCTTCCGAGTTCTGGAATTAAAGGCATGTGCCACCACTCCCTGGTTTACTTTTATTATTTTTATTTATATGTATATGTACCTGTGTTTGTATGTCACATTTGAGCAGTGCCAAAAGATGCCAGAAGAGAGTGTTGGATCCTTTGGAGTTGGAGTTTACAGGTGGATGTGAGCTGTCCAATGTGGGTGCTGGGAACTGAACTCAGGTCCTCTAGAGGAGCAGTAAGTGCTCCTAACCACTGATCCATTTCTCCAGCCCCTCTGTGTTATGTCCTACTACAGCAAGTGAATGTACAAGTATTTAAACAAAAGGACTAAATTTTAAAATTACGTTTATTTGTGTGTGCTCACGTGTGTGAAAGCCAGAAAACAGCTTTCAGGAGCTGGCTTCTTCCTTCACCATGTGGCTCCCAGGGACTGAATTCAGGTTGCCAAGCTTAGTAAGTAGCAAATGCCTTTACCCAGTGAGCCATCTTGCCAGCCCAATACTAAATGTTTCTGGAGACAGGATCCTGTGATGCCCAGGCTGGCCTTGAATACAACATGTCGTCAAGGATGCCTTTGAACTCCTCATGGCCCCCCCCCCAAGGTGTGAGCCACCACACCTGCCTTCGTTTGTTTGCTTATTTTGAGTCAGGGTGTCATTGAGTAATCCTGGCTAACCTGGAACTTGCCATGTAGACCAGGCTGGCCTTGTGTTTGAGGTTATCTCCCTGCTTCTGACTCCTGAATCCTGGGGAGGGGCATATTTTCTTTTTCAATACAAACTGAGCACTGGAGAGAGGGCTCAGCAGTTGAGAGCACTGGCTGCTCTTCCAGAGGACCTGGATTTGATTCCAGATCAGCACCCACATGGAGGCTCACAACTGTCTGTAACTTCAGTTCAAGGAATCCAACACCCTATTCTGGCCTCCATGGGCCAAGGCACACACAGACATACATGCAGGCAAAACACCCATGCACATAAAATAATTTTTTTACATAATAATAATAATAAACAAAACATGACCCTACTGACACCTTACTGAAGACTCAGCACAAAGCTTTACTTTGGCTGTCTCTGTCTGTCTGTCTGTCCCTAATTGCCACCACCAACATCAGGGACAAAGGTCCCTTCTGATTCCTTTGTTCCCTGCCCATCCTAGCCTCCATGTGCTACAGCCTGTCACTGAAGTCAAAATCACACTTTATCCTGGATTCTCCCCAAAAGGAAGCCTGTGATGAAGCTACCTTCATTGGCAGATGCCTCTCTAGAAAGTAGCTCCGGGGAGCCTGAGTTGGTGAGCAAGGAGAGAGCAGGAGCAGAAATGATTCACTCACGGAGTTGCCATTGCTATGACAACAGGTACCCAGCCCTCTGGGTCTCATGGAATGTGTGGCGGCAGATCTGGGGGAGGCATTTTCTCATCATGTGTTCCCACCACCCCAGAACTGTGACTGCGGTGTTACCCCCGTGCCCTTTTGAGCTGTGAGTGGGGCACATGTCTTTGGGAGGACAGCATGGAAACCAGACTTTGAATACCAATGAGAGGATTCTGTTCTCCCTTGCCTGAGCCCTATCATCTCCACCCTTGGAGCATGTGTTTCCTGTGGCCATGTCTGAGGTGCCAGCAGTTGTCAGGTAAGGCTCCGGTAGGACCAAACTTGAAGCGCATGACCCCTGTCCCCAGAGACCACCGGGCTGCTTCTAGGCTCTTAGAGTGGTGGAAACGGCAGAGGACGCCCTGCAGTCTCTGGTACCACCCTGTCTCCCTCGGAAGCTGTAAGCAATCCCCCAGTTAAATGCTTTCATTTATAAGTTGCCTTGGTCATGGTGTCTCTTTGCAGAAATAGAAACGTAACTGAGGGCTCAACTATAGTGAACAGCCTGGGTACAGGAGACTCTTCTTAAAAAAATTTTTTTTTAATTAGAAAGAAAAAGGATAACATTACTGTGACTCCAGATGGGGCCTGTGCATGACTCACTTTCCAATTCCTCATGCTGGGCATGGAACTCGGGGTTAGAACGTGTGAGGCATTGTCTTAGTCAGGGTTTCTGCGGCTTCGATGAAACACTGTGACCAAAAAGCGAGTTGAGAAGGAAAGGGTTCATTTGGTTTACACTTCCATATCACTGTTCATCATCAAAGGAACTCAGGATACGGACTCAAGCAGGGCCTGGAGGCAGGAGCTGAGGCAGAGGCTGTGGAGGGGTGCTGTTCTGGCTTGCTCAGCCTGCTTTCTTACAGAACCCAGGACCACCAGCCCAGGGGTGCCATCACCCACAGTGGCCTGGGCTCTCCCACACTGGTCACTCATTAAGAAAATACTCTACAGCTGATCTTACGGGGGGCATTTTCTCAATCCAGGTTCCTCCTCCTGGTGACTCTAGCTTATGTCCAGTCGATACACTAGCCATCACAGGCACTCGCTCTGCATCCCATCCCCAGGCCCAGCACGGCACTGCTTTAAGAGCCTCTCTGTCCTACCCATCCATCTCCTGTGGAGGCCTGGAGAAGGGCTGAGGTGGGCGGGTGAGCAAGACCCTCCTTCAGGTCTCCTGTGCCGCTCTGCTGCTGGCCTTTGAGGGTCCTTCCCACACTGTCCCTTGGTGGGGATTCTCAGAGGACATGGCTGTGCCTGAGAGGTCAGGAGGGGTGGAGAGAGCAGACCCTTCCACCTGCACAGATTCTGCCAGGCCTGGACTCACCTGTGCTCTCAACCAGCTGTGGCCCTTGAGACTTCTGTTCCCAGGACAGGGAGGGGCATGTCCCTGAAGGAGGAATCTTGTTCACATCCTTCCCTCTTTCTACCCCCTCGTTAGGAATGGTCTACACGTGGGTCCTAGGCCTCCCTGAGGCACTCAGTGCCCAGGACCTAGAAGCGTGGCCATACTCAAGACCCTTGAAGGGGACAGCCAGTAGCTAGCCACAGGGCCTGACAGGCAGGAGGCCTGAGAAGAGCCGCTGGTTCCAAAGCCTTCCCCAGTCACGCTGCCTTCCACAGCCAAGGCAGCTCTGCCCGCAGTCAAGCCAGAGCTTGAGCCTCGTCTCTGCTGCTTAACCTCTCCCACCAGGGACCAGGCCCTTGAACCCTTTTAAAGAATCCTTTGAGGGCTCAGGAGACACTGTTGCCAGCAGTTCTGAGGTCCCCAGCCCTGAGGGCAAGAGGCGTTTCTTATCCAAAAGCAATGGGCCCTAAGGTCCCTGGGGGCCTCACCACATCTCAGAGACCTAGACCTGCTGTAGAAGGCACCCTAGGCCGGTGGCGCTGGCACCCCAGGCTGGTGGCACTGGCACCCCTGGCCTCACAGGCTCTTCCTTCATGCTGGTGCCTGGCTGAGCTGTCTTCTGATGCTCTCAGCAAAGGGAGGTCCAGTCAAGCAGAATGTATCCAGAACCTGGTGTGTGTGTGTGTGTGTGTGTGTGTGTGTGTGTGTGTGTGTGTGTGGTGTGAATGTATTTGTACGTGTGTGTGTGTATTATGTTCATGTGTGTTTATGTATGTGCATATATGTGTAGAGACTAGACGTCAACTTTAGCTGTTGCTCCTCAGGAGCCACCAACTTTTATTTTTTGTTTTGTTTGATGTGTGGGTGTTCGCCTGCATGAATGCCTGTGAGCCACATGTGTGCCTGGTGTCCATAGAGGCCAGAAGAGGGTATTGGATCCCCTGGAAGTGGAATTACAGGCAGTTGTGACCTGCCACGTGGGTGCTGGGAATAGAACCCGGGTCCTCCTGAAGAGCAGCCAGCTCTCTCCAGTCCCCACTCCCACCCCCTTTTTTTAAATTTTGAGACAGGGTCTCTCACCAGACTGGAGCTCACCACATAGGCTGGGCTGGCCAGCGCCCCCAGGGCCACCTGTCTCAGCCTCCTCAGCGCTTACAGGAGGCTGAGAAGGGATTTCAGAAGGGACCCAGCCCTAGCTAGTGTTTGTTGATTTGTTTGTTTTCTCTCCCCTCAACGACACATTCCCTGGAACTGGAATCCTGTGAACGCTTTAGACACGGAGCTATCTCTGCAGCCCCAGAACCTCTTCCAGGGTTGAGCAAATCCAGGACAGGATCAGCCTGAGGCAGAGTCTTCACAGCTTTCCGGAGGGTTAAAGGAACAACCTGGCCTGGTGCCTAGCAGGTAGCAGAAACCATTCCATCCCCACTGAAAAATAAACATTGTCCCAGAGTCCACCCTGGAGTAGGACACTGGCTCCCAGAGGGGCAGGCCTTGGGACATTATGCAGGCGGTAACCACAGCTGAATGCCAGACACAGGATGGGTCACTTTGGCATGGGTATGTCCCAATTCTGAAACTCAAAGTGCACACTGGGTATTTTTATTTGATAAACTGTGCAAACGTAACAGCACAATGTCAAGTAACTGGGTGTTTCGGTTTTAATTTTAGTCATTTAAATCTTCAAATGGTAGAGGGGAGAAAAAGCTAAATGAAAAGCAGACCATGTGCTGCCAGCATATTGTCACCATAGTTTGTTTTAAATTTTAATGTGTGTTAGTGTGTGTTCACGCAGACAGAGAAAACTGGTACAGACCAAGCAAGCAAGCCTGGGGAGAGACTGATATGAAAAAAGAGAGGAAGGTTGTCTTCCCTTCCTCTTCTGTCTGTCTGTCTGTCTGTCTGTCTGTCTCTCTCTCTCTCTCTCTCTCTCTCTCTCTCTCTCTCTCACACACACACACACACACACACACACACACACACACACTTACAACATTTTTAGTAAGTGTGTATTTTATAATAAATATTTTTTCAACCATACACATGGAAGGGGACCCCCAGAAAAGTTGGAGGAGAGAACTGACTCCACAAAGTTGTCCTCTGACCCCTACACACTCGCTGTGGCATGGTACACACATCATGCAATAATAATTATTTTAATTAAAAAAAAATCCATCTATACAAAGAACCTCTTTTCAATGTTCTCCTGTTTGAGGTGAGCAAACAACAGGAAAAAATACAAACATTTCAGGAACACCCTCCCTCCCAGAGCCTCTTACACAGCCCTTCGGTGACCGGTGGGCTGCGGGCTCCCTCCCTCCCCCCAGCACCTGTGCCCCGGGCATGCGCAGCTCACCAGGCCTGGGCCCAGATGGAACAGCCACAGCTCTTAACTGCTGAGTCATTCCTCCAGCCCCGGGCTTTGAACTTTCAATCCTCCTGCTTCAGTCTCCTATGTAGCTGGTCCTACGGCTACCCTCCTTCCTCTCTCTCTTTTAAAAATATTTTTATGTGTATGTTATTTTGCCGACATGTATGTATTTGTGCTGTGTGTGTGCAGTGCCCTTGGAGGCCAAAAAAAGGAACCAGAACCCCTGGAACTGGAGTTACAGGCAGTTGTGAGCAGCCCTGGGGAGGGCAGGATTTCTGGGAGGCTGTGAGCGTGTCGAATCTCTACTCTGGCTGCATGATGAGGCTGTCCCCAGAACTCCTATGCGGGGAGGGGAGGGGCCAACCATGTACAGAACACCCAGACTCTTGGAACCTGGGTTCATGCTCTCTCTATTTTGAGTGTCTGTCTCCTCTCCTGATGGCAGGCTGAAGGTCTTGTAGAGAGACAGGGGAGGATTACAGAGAGCCTGCCATCTTCCCAAATCTCAGGCAGCCTCCCTGCCCAGCACCCAACCCATGAGCTTGCCTTTGGTTTTTCTGAAAACCATAGCCAGGGAGGCCACCTTGTCACACTCACTCTCTCCATCAAACTGGCCACCTTCCCCTTTCCGAGGTGTACCCACCATCCCTTCCCTCTACTCCAGCCCTCCGGCCCAGCAGGCCAGCTCTTCCTCCCTCTGCTCTCTGTCTACATAGTGACACAGCCAGTTGTCAATTTCTGTCCGATGCCTGTATGTAAGTGTACGTGTGTGCCCGTGCCCATCCTTCCCTCCATGATTCCCCGCTGCCCTGAACTGCTCTATTCACAGTCTCCTGCTCCATCCCCAGAGCCCCTCTTCATGTTCCTAATGGGTGCCCCCAAGTCCTCCACTTCCTTCCATCTGCCTTTGCTGTGTCCTTGGGGACTTCCTGGCCTGTATCATCCCCTCTGTGACTACCTTCCTGAGACACTCCCCTGAGGGCTGCCACTGGCCTTCTGCTGGGTTTCCTCTGTGTTCCCAAGGTGACTTAATCCATATTGCATTCCAGATAGCCAACGGCAGCATCGAGGACGCAAAGGCTCATCATCCTTCTGAGCCCTGGCATGGGGCACTGTGTAGGGCTTTACAAATGACGGTCACGGCCCAAGAACTTGAGATCTGGGACCTACCTGCATCTGGAAAGAGCCAGGGCTCCAGCTCAGACCATCTGACTACACAGTGCCCACCCCAGCACTGCCCAATGCCCAGGCCACTCTACCTGTGTCTGTGACCTTTCCCCCTGGCTAGCATCCCTTCACCCAGGAGCACTTTCTGTTCTTGTGTGAGGCCTGGATCTTACCTCCAGCCCTGCCATCACCTTGACTCCTGTGTTGGATGCTGAAGTTGCAAAAACATGCTCTCCGCTGCCTGTTCTTGTCCGCCGCACCTCAGCTGCCAGGTTAATCTCCCGAAAACACTGTCAGGAGTGACGCCTTGATCACCTCACTTGTCAAATGCGGGGTTCCAGCTCGGTATGATCAGCGTCTTTCAAGCTCAAATAAATCCTTTGGAATCCTGAGGATCATTACTCCCCAAAATGTGTGTGGCTCAGGGAGACTGCTGGTGGAGCTGGTGCCAGCCTGGCCTGCTGGGGCTTGGGGGTGCCCAACCAAGGAGCGAGGTCAGTGTGGGAGGGTCAGTGTGGGGAAGGGTCAGTGGAGGAGTCTTCCTTTGTGACAGGGTAGAGCCCAGGGGAGAGGGCTGCATGAGGGTCCTCTACTATACCAAACGGCCACATCGGTGACCTGCTCTCTTGCCCTTTGGAGCCTGTGTGTGAGTCTGAAATTCCGGTGTGAACTGAACCCTGCTGGGGGACAGGGGAACTCTTCTCTGCCTTTTTGAGCGGTATGAACAGCAGCCCTGGGTACTTCTCAGCTTACAGAAGCACTGTTCCATCTCTACCTCCATCATCACACAAATGGGTGCTCGATATCTGTGTCCAGATTCTCTCTTCCTCCGAGGACACCAGTGACACCGGACAGAGCCCCCTCCCTCAGTGGACTTTCAGCTTAACTTGTTTATATGGGCAAAGATCCTGTCCCTATCAAGGTCACATTTCAAGGTTTCAAGATGGACATGAGTTTGGGGACAAGGGGACTATTCAATCCAGTGCTGGGGCAAGACGAGATAAGAAATGTCAAATGTGATGTGCAGAGACAGGCTAGATGTCTCCAGGAAGTAGAGGGCAGGCCTGCAGGGGGTGCTGGTGCCAGTGATGAGGGCAAGGGCAGGAACAGCCATGCCGGACACCCTAGAGTTTGTGGACAGAGCTTGATGAGGTCAGCCTTGCCAGGACAGCCCCACAGACGCCACAGAGCCCTGCATCCCCAGCCCTGCCTGGGACTGAGCAGCTGCCAGATGCCTGGCCACCAGCTCTGTGAGAGACACATGCGCAGACTGGTCCTCGAGGACAAGCCCCATAATTACCCTCTGCTGCCAGCAAACAGCATCCACGTCAGTGATAAGCCAAGCGGGGCGGGAGGTGCGCCAGCCCACAGACACCTCAGAGGTGGGCCTGGTCCTGCTGACATCAGCGGCTCTGCTGCCTGAGACAGGAGCATTCATGCACCTCCAGGAAGGAGAGGCCCTTCCCTGGAGGAAAACTGAGCTAGCCCATTGCAGTCTGCCAGGCAGTGCCTGAGCCTGCCAGAAACTGCCGTCTTCTGGGTGAAATTTTGCCGAGAACCTTTCTGGGCAAATGACACATTGCTGATGTGACTTTCCAGGTCCAGGGATCTAACTTGACAGCCATGGAAGCGTGTGAAGGTCACTTCCCATCCTGCCTCATTCTCTAAGTCCATCTTTGTAGCCACCTGCAGAGGCAAGCTGGAGCCACCCTGGTCTGTCCACTTCTGTGAGGGACCAGAAGTCACACATCAAGCCTGATTGAGGAGCAAGTGATTGAGTGACCACTGGCACTCAAACCCACGCCTGTGCCTCATGCTGTAGGACCACAGGACCCGGAAAGAGATGGTGTAAGGCTCTGATGGGCCAGATTCTGGCTTAATCATCTGAACTGTAGCCATCGAAGCCCCAGACCCACAGTGTCCAGGAAGGAGGCCACAAGCCACACACGGTTTCTGAGCTATTGAAAGTGCTGACTGCTAAAATCCTTAAGGGATTGGCAAGACTTAGAAGGGCCGTGACAGTAGGGAGGAAGGCACCTCAATGTTTACATTGAGCGCATGTTGAAGTAGCAATATTTGGATACACGAGAATAAACAAGTATAGTATTAACACTTGCTATGCTGACTTCTTTTTGCTTTTTAAGAACATGTCTGCATTTATTAATTTATTTTATTTGTGTATGAATGTCTGCCTGCTTGTGTGGATGTGTACTACATGTGTGCTAGTTGCCCGGGGAGGCTAGAAGAGGGAGTTGCAAATGGTTGAGTTACCATGTGGGTACTCGGAATCAAACTCGGGTCCCCTACAAGAGCAACAAGTGCCCTTAACTACTGAGCCATCTGTCTGGCCTAAACCCCCCTCCCTTTTTTTTTTTTTTACTTTTTAAAAATGTGGCTACCAGAAATTTAAAAGTCACAGCCAGGTGTGGTAGGTGGCTCACACCTATAATCCTAGCATTCAGGAGGCTGAGGCAGGAGGATTGTTGGAAGTGTGACTCTAACCTGGGATACATAGTGAGTTCCAGATTAGCCTGGACTGTACAGAAAGATCCTGTTGCAAACAAAATAATCGCATACATAGTTGAGGGGGGCACATTGGTCCCAGAACTCAGACGTCAAAGTCAGGAGGGGGCACTGCTGGAACCTAGGAGTTCAAGACCCTGTCTCAAAATAAACTAAATCCCAGAGATATCACTCATTCATTCATTCATTCATCATTCATTCATTCATTCATTCATTCATTCCTTTATTCATCCATCCATTCATTTATTTTGACATAGGACTTCATTACATAAACCCAAGCTGGAATTGAAATGATTCTCCTGTCTCAGCCTCTCCCTAGTGCTGAAAAGTGGAAAAAGAAAAAAGTCTGTTTAAACAGAGGTCATTGTGGGCAGGTGTAAATCACCCCTGCCTGTTCCCCGACAGAAAAAGGCACACTTATTTCTCTTTTCTTTCTTCCTTCCTTTCCCTCCTCATCTCAGTCAGGGTCTATGTTGGCCAAGAGGCTGCTCTCAAACTTCTTGGCTGGAAAAATCCTCCTTCCTCAGCACCTCCAGGTGCTGGGGTGGCATTTCCATCAGAAGATCTGACTCCCTTAAGAGAAGTGCACACATCTCTAACATACTGTACAGAGGGGCTCAGACCCCATACTTGCTGAGTGACATGAGTAGTCATGTGGCCTCTCTGAGCCTTATGTGTGGATGGAGCATCTCCTGCCTCAGCATTAATGAAGCGTTCGTAAAGCATTCTGCACCGTCAGGGCCTAGTGCATGGCACAGCAGCCGGGGGGGATTGCAGCTTTGTCTCCAGTGTTTGCTGCACATTTTGTCTATTCCCACAGAAACAATCGCCACACACATGCCTGAACCCAGCCTGAAACCCAAGGAGGTAGGGCAGAGATGATGGTCATATCCCCACCCCCACCCAGGATTTATGGCAGACTGGAAGAGATAAGGCAGAAGTGTACACAGAGGTTTCGGTCACCACCATCCAAACACTGTGCATCCACTCCAGAGCAGCAGGTGAGCTATGAGGAAAGACATGTCCCCCACAGCAGCACCTTCAGAGCTGTCAGAGAGAGCTGGGGGAACAGGGTACAGTGACACACAAAACGTCTGGCACACCATGAAGCTGACACCGTGTGCATGGCACACAGTATGGCTCCCATGGTGTGTCATTTAGGGTTACTATCGTTGTGGTGAAACACCATGACCAAAGCAAGTTGGGGAGGAAAAGGGTTATTTGGCTTACACCTCTATTTCTACATCGCTGTTCATCATTACAGGCGATTAGGATAGGAACTTGAGCTGGGCAGGAACCTGGAGGCAGGAGCTGATGCAGAGGCCATGGAGGGGTGCTGCTTACTGGTGTGCTCCCCATGGCTTGTTCAGCCTGCTTTCTTATAGAACCTAGGACCAGCAGCCCAGAGATGGCATCACCCACAACGGGCTGGGCCCTCCCACACCAATTACTAATTAAGAAAATCTAAGCCGGGCAGTGGTGGCGCACGCCTTTAATCCCAGCACTCGGGAGGCAGAGCCAGGTGAATCTTTGTGAGTTTGAAGCCAGCCTGATCTACAGCACGAGATCCAGGAAAGACTCCAAAGCTACATAGAGAAACCCTGTCTTGAAAAACCAAAAAAATGAGTGAGGTAACCCAGACTCAGAAAGACAAACATGGTATGTACTCACTCATAGCAGGATACTAGACATGAAACAAGGATGACTTGTCTGCTACTCACATCACCAGGGAGGCTACCTGGAAAACAGGACCCCAAGAAAGACACAGGGATCACCCAATGACAGAGAAATGGAATGAGATCTACATGAACAGCCTGGACATGAGTGGGGGTAATGAAAGGCGAGGGTTGAGGGAAAGAGAGCTTGGGGGAGCGGGAGATCCCAGCTGGATCAACAACAGAGAGGGAGAACAAGGAATAGGAGACCATGGTAAATGAAGACCACATGAGAATAGGAAGAAGCAAAGTGCTAGAGAGGCCCACAGAAATCCACAAAGATACCCACACAACAGACTGCCGGCAATGGTCAAGAGACAGCCCGAACTGACCTACTCTGGTGATGGGATGGCCAAACACCCTAACTGTCGTGCTAGAAACCTCATCCAACTACTGAGGGATCTGGATGCAGAGATCCATGACTAGGCCCTGGGTGGATCTCTGAGAGTCCAATTAGCGAGAATGAGGAGGGTTTATATGAGCGAGAATTGTTGAGACCAAGGTTGGATAAAGCACAGGGACAAATAGCCAAATGAATGGAAACACATGAACTATGAACCAATGGCTGAGGGGTCCCCACTGGATCAGGCCTTCTGAATGGGTGAGACAGCTGATTGGCTTGATCTGTTTGGGAGGCATCCAGGCAGTGGGACCAGATCTTGTGCTCATTGCATGAGCTGGCTGTTTGAAACCTGGGGCCTATGCAGGATTGTTTGGCTCGGCCTGGGAGGAGGGGACTAGACCTACCTGGACTGAGTCTACCAGGTTGACTTCAGTCTGTGGGGAAGGCTTTGCCCTGGAGGAGATGGGAATGGGGGGGGGGGCGTTGGGGGGAAGATGAGGGGGACGGGAGGGGGGGAACAAGGGAATCCGTGGCTGATATGTAGAACTGAATTGTATTGCAAAATAAATTAAAAAAAAAAAAAAAGAAAAACCAAAAAAAAAAAAAAAAAAAAAAGAAAAGTAAAGAAAATCTACAGGCCTGCCTACAGTCTGATCTTATAGAGGCATTTTCTTAATTGAGGCTCCCTTCTCTCAGATGATTCTAGCTTGTGTCAAGTTGACAAAAAACAAAAACAAAAAACAGTCAGGACAACTGACTCTTTGTCAACTTGACATACAAACACATTACTGATAAGCCGCAACCTTTCCTTTCTTGTTCATCCCCAAGATAATGCATTAATATCAACATTGTGTCGTAAACATTCCAAATATTAAAAGTCCCACAGTCTTCAAAAATTCAAACACTTAAACATTTAGTCTCTTTTAAAATCCAATGTCTCTCAACTGTAGGATCCTATAAAATAAAAAATAAATTAAATACTTTCTTACTTTAGGAGAAAAGAACCAGGGTACAGTCACAGTCAAATCAAAGCAAAACCAAAACCTTAAACTGTATAAATCACTCGAGGTCCAATATATGGATTCGTTAACGATCTTCCTCTCCTCTAAGGGCTTGGAGCATTTCTCCGGCTCCGCCCTCTGCAGCACGCGCACAGCTTGTTTTCCAGGCTCTGGCTGGCTCCACTCCACCACTACTGCTGTTCCTGGTGGTCATCCCCTGCTACTTGCATCTCCAAAATGCTGGGCTCTCTTCAGGGACTCCAGCCCTGTCACACAGAGTGACAAGCCTCAGTTGCTCTCCATGACCCCTTCATACCTTCAAAGCCAGCACAGCCTAGGTGACTCTTAACACACCCAAGTTTGGCTGCCGGTGTGAGGTACAACCTTGCCTGTTTCTGGAACACGGCTTCTGTGTGGTGACCCTGAGCAAACACTTCCCGGAGGACTTCACCTCAGTGATGCTGGTCTCTTCTTAATCACAGCTGATTCTTCAGCCTCAGCTGACCAGCGTCCTTTGTCCCAGCAAAGCAAAGGTTTAACTTTAGTGCTTCTGGTCCCTTATTAATCACAGCCAATTCTTCAGCTCCAGACACCACAGATTCTTCACACAAATGGCCCAGAAGGGTCTTTGCTTCCTGCTGAAACTCCACAAGCCAGGCCTCCATCATCTGGGCTGCTCTCAGCATTCTTATCTACCAACATTCTACAGAACAGCCCATGAGCTCTCAATACTCAATGGCTTTTCTAGCACCAAGTTCCAAAGTCCTTTCACAATCCCCTCCAAAATAACAAGGTCAGGTCTGTCACAGCCATAATCCATGATCCTGGTACTCATTTTTCTATCGCTGTGATGAAACTAGCCAGCACACATGGCTTCAAAGGGCACATGATGTGGTGATAGAGTGGAGTTTGCGTCTGCGCAAAGCCACACGGTCAGCATCCGAGTCTCCGCTTCCTCCTTTGTAAAACAGAGACAAGTTAAGACTGAAGTTCCGATGAGAGGGCACTGTGTAAACAAAGGGCTACAGGTTTGTTTTTCTTCCCTTTCCTGAAATGAATGAGGCACACGGGAACAGACCAGGAGCTGTGGGGGCACTGCCCACCTGACATAGACTTCCCTGAGGGGAGCAAGGGAAAGAGGTGGGAATGAGAGGAAGTCCCCACTGGAGATGGTACAGAGGCCTTTGTACTCAGACAAGCAGCCAGCTTGGGAGGGAATGCCTAAGGAAAGGCCACCTGGGCAGAGTAGCAGGAAAAACCAGAGAGAAGCTAGCTATGACCCTGACCAAACCCAGGTATTCAGAGATAAAGGCCATTCCTAGGAAGGCCCTAGAGCAGTCCAGCCCTAAGATGTCAGTCTTTCCAGACTTTTTTTTTAAACAGGAGGCAGTATTTTGCTGTGTAGCCCTGGCTAATCTGGAGCTAACAGCAATCCTCCTGTCCCAGCTTCCTGAGATGTGAACCATCACTTCTGACTGCAGGATTGTTAATCACAGAGTGCCAACCAGCCATCATTCAGTGACCTGCC